TGTTTAATTGGTCTTAATGTATCCTGGTCATTACCTCCCTTTTTGTATGAGGAAGAACAATGGATGCTGTGATTGTTTTGAAGCCTGTGCATGGATTGGTTGATTTGTGGGTTGGTGACAGGGGGAAGGCAGTGGCGAATTGGCCAGTCCTGAATTCCCTGACATTCCTTTACTGGTGGTTTCCAACGGGGATGGCTGCGGTCGCCGGGAGCGTGGCCACGGCACCGGGGAGCGGGTGTGTGTTTGCAGACCAGATGGCTCATTAGAGCAGCAAGAGCAGAGGAAATTGGAGACACACGAGAGTTTTCCTTCGCCCTGTGACAAGCAGCAGCCCTGGGCTTCTGCTCCTTGTGTGCCGTGCGGTGCTGTGCCACTGTCCTCAAAGGGTGAGCACTATAGCTGTGCTAAGCCATGTTTTTATGTTCCTGTGGGTGGAGTTCCTCCATCAGGTCCTTGTACCAAGGGTCTAGGCCTGAAGTAGAGCTGAGCCTATCCCTCAGACCAGCTCCGTCCCCCTGTTCCTTCAAATGAGCTGAGAATTCCTATGTCGATGTGAGGGAGTAGGGCTTGGCAGGTCTGGAAGTGGCATTAGGGCACTAATGGTTTTTAACTGAAGGCAGGGCAATTTAGATTGGATATTGGGAAGAAATTCTTCCCTGTGAGGGTGGTGAGGCCCTGGCACAGGTTTGCCCAGAGAAACTGTGGCTGCCCCATTCCTGGAAGTGTCCAAGGCCAGGTTGGACAGGAGCAACCTGGGCTAGTGGAAGGTGTCCCTGCCCATGGCAGGAACATGATGGTCTTTAAGGTCCCTTGTAACCCAAACCATTCCATGATTCTGTGTTCATCTGTGTCATCTTGCAAGCCAAAGGCAGAGAAAAGCTGTGCAAAAAGATCCAGGAGGAGCAACCTGAAGATGGAGAGCAGAGGGAAGAGCCACATTAGTAGCTGAAATTTCCCATTCACAACGCACTTTATTCATCCAAGAGGGGATATTGATGAAACATCTCATGCATAATAGGAGCAGACAGTCTTCAAAGAAACTGGGAGCACCTCCATTCTCCCTCCAAAATGACATTCCCAGGCCTGTAATCAATAATTACCCTGTGAATTCCTGGGAGCCTCCTTGTTCAGACACTCAAACTGGAGAGCAGTGTGGGTTGGTGAACTGCCACAGCCCCTTGCAAAGGACAGTGAACACAGTCAAACACCAGTTATGGGCTGAAAATACTCTTTGTTTTCTGCTGTCACCTCCATGGAGTTGGACTTGTCCATCACCCCAGTGCTGCTCACCCGTGCTCC